CCCTAACCCAACCTTGGAGCAGTATCCTAGGCTGGCTGTTCAACCCTAACCCTAACCCTAACCCTAACCCTAACCCAACCTTGGAGCAGTATCCTAGGCTGGCTGTTCAACCCTAACCCTAACCCTACCCTAACCCCAACCCTAACCCCAACCCTAACCCAACCTTGGAGCAGTATCCTAGGCTGGCTGTTCAACCCTAACCCTAACCCTAACCACCCTAACCCTAACCCTAACCCTAACCCAACCTTGGAGCAGTATCCTAGGCTGGCTGCTCAACCCTAACCCTAACCCTAACCCTAACCCAACCCAACCACCTGGAGCAGTAATCCTAGCATGGCTGCTCAACCCTAACCCTAACCCTAACCCTAACCCAACCTTGGAGCAGTATCCTAGGCTGGCTGTTCAACCCTAACCCTAACCCTAACCCTAACCCTAAACCCTAACCCTAACCCTAACCCTAACCCAACCTTGGAGCAGTATCCTAGGCTGGCTGCTCAACCCTAACCCTAACCCTAACCCTAACCCAACCATTGAGCAGTATCCTAGCTGCTGCTCAACCCTAACCCTAACCCTAACCAACACCCAACCTTGGAGCTATATTCCTAGGATGGTGTTCAACCCTAACCCTAACCCTACCCGCTACCCTTAAACCCTAACCCTAACCCTTAACCCTAACCCAACCTTGGGCAGTATCCTAGGCTGCTGCTCAACACTAACCCTAACCCTAACCAACCCTAACCACCTAACCCTACCCTAACACCAACCTTGGAGCAGTATCCTAGGCTGACTGCTCAACCCTAACCCTAACCCTAACCCTAACCCAACCTTGGAGCAGTATCCTAGAATGGCTGTTCAACTACAATACCTTTAGAGTGCTGCATTCAACTACACCTGTGGTCCATGCAGCGTGAAAAACAACCTACCTATATTTTTGTTATTTTGCATTTTTTAAATACTTTTTTATTAGTGAACTGTAGATCTGTAGAAACAGGATCGTTAATCTGCTACCTCTCAGGTGAACTGTAGATCTGTAGAAACAGGATCGTTAATCTGCTACCTCTCAGGTGAACTGAAGATCTATAGAAACAGGATCGTTAATCTGCTACCTCTCAGCTGAACTGAAGATCTATAGAAACAGGATCGTTAATCTGCTACCATCTCAGGTGAACTGTAGATCTGTAGAAACAGATCGTTAATCTGCTACCTCCTCAGGTGAAACTGTAGATCTGTAGAAACAAGGATCTGTTAATCTGCTACCTCTCAGGTGAACTGAAGATCTATAGAAACAGGATCGTTAATCTGCTACCTCTCAGGTTGAACTGAAGATCTATAGAACAGGATCGTTATATCGGCTACCTCTCAGGTGAACTGTAGATCTGTAGAAACAGGATCGTTAATCTGCTACCTCTCAGGTGAACTGAAGATCTATAGAAACAGGATCGTTAATCTGCTACCTCTCAGGTGAACTGAAGATCTATAGAAACAGGATCGTTAATCTGCTACCTCTCAGGTGAACTGTAGATCTGTAGAAACAGGATCGTTAATCTGCTACCTCTCAGGTGAACTGAAGATCTATAGAAACAGGATCGTTAATCTGCTACCTCTCAGGTGAACTGTAGATCTGTAGAAACAGGATCGTTAATCTGCTACCTCTCAAGTGAACTAGGGGGAAGCCATGCCATTGGAAAGCAAGGTGCAGCCATCATCATTTGACTGTCTGGTTCTTCTCTACCCAGGCTACAGTATTAATATGGGTTGGTGTTACTCTATTTATAGGTCCAATAAAATGGGAATGTGTTGTACAGTAATACAGAGCATTCGGAAAGTATTCAGACCCTTGACTTTTTCCGCATTTTGTTACTTTACAGCCTTATTCTAAAATGAAATAAATTGTTTTTTTCCTCATCAATCTACATACAATACCCCATAATGACAAAACAAAAACAGGTTTTTAGACATTTTTGTAAATGTATTAAAAATAAAATGTTGAAATATCACATTTACATAAGTATTCAGACCCTTTACTCAGTACTTTGTTGAAGCACCTTTGGCAGTGATTACAGCCTCAAGTCTTCTTGGGTATGACGCTACAAGCTTGGCACACCTGTATTTGGGGAATTTCTCTCATTCTTCTCTGCAGATCCTCTCAAGCTCTGTCAGGTTGGATGGGGAGCATCACTTCACAGCTACTTTCAGGTCTCTCCAGAGATGTTTGATCGGGTTCAAGTCCGGGCTCGGGCTGGGTCACTCAAGGACATTGAAACTTGTCCCGAAGCCACTCCTGCGTTGTCTTGGCTGTGTGCTTAGGGTCGTTGTCCTGTTGGAAAGGGAACCTTCACCCCAGTCTGAGGTCCTAAGCGCTCTGGAGCAGGTTTTCATCAAGGATCTCTCTGTACTTTGCTCCGTTCATCTTTCCCTCTATCCTGATTAGTCTCCCAGTCCCTGCCGCTGAAAAACATCCCCACCCCATGATGCTGCCACCACAATGCTTCACCGTAGGGATGGTGCCAGGTTTCCTCCAGACGTGACCCTTGGCATTCAGGCAAAGAGTTCAATCTTGGTTTCATCAGACCAGAGAATCTTGTTTCTCATGGTCTGAGAGTCTTTAGGTGCCTTTTGGCAAACTCCAAGCGGGCTGTCATGTGCCTTTTACTGAGGAGTGGCTTCCGTCTGGCCACTCTACCATAAAGACCTGATTGGTGGAGAGCTGCTGAGATGGTTGTCCTTCTGGAAGGTTCTCCCATTTTCACAGAAGAACTCTGGAGCTCTGTCAGAGTGACCATCGGGTTCTTGGTCACCTCCCTGACCAAGGCCCTTCTCCCCGTTTGCTCAGTTTGGCCGGGCGGCCAGCTCTAGGAAGACTCTTGGTGGTTCCAAAGTTATTCAGTTTTATAAATGATGGAGGCCACTGTTTTCTTAGCGTCCTTCAATACTGCAGACATTTTCTGGTACCCTTTCCCAGATCTGTGCCTCGACACAATCCTGTCACAGAGCTCTACGGACAATTCCTTCGACCTCATGACTTGGTTTTAGCTCTGACATGCACCGTCAACTGTGGGAACCTTATATAGAGAGGTGTTTGCCTTTCCAAATCATGTCCAATCAATTGAATTGACCACATGTGGACTCCAATCAAGTTGTAGAAACATCTCAAGGATGATCAATGGAAACAAGATGCACCTGAGCTCAATTTCGAGTCTCATAGCAAAGAGTCTGAATACTTATGTAAGTAAGGTATTTCTGTTTTATTACTTTTTTTGATGGGCAAAAATGTCTAAAAACCTGTTTTCACTTTGTCATTATGGGGTATTGTGGGTAGATTGATGAGTTTTTTTTATTTATTTAATCTATTTTAGAATAAGGCTGTAACATAACAAAGTGGAAAAAGTCAAGAGGTCTGAATACTTTCCGAATGCACTGTACATTTCAATGTTTAACACACTAACCAAAAACCTGATACATTTGCATATTCATACTGAGTTTGCAGCAAACAGAATGTTCCCGACAAGTTTCCGAGAATTGTTTGCCAGATGGTCACAAGTTGCCGAAAATGACCGCAACAGTTTGCCACAAAACTAATTTCATGTGAAAATATTAACTTGTCGCAAATTTGCCAAAGGTTTGCCACAACTGTGCCAGAAGCATGTTTTTTCGGTAAGAGTTACTAAACAGTTCATTCTAAATACCATGTAGTATTACCATGTAGTATTACTAGTACGCAGTATGTAGTATGTCGTTTCAGTAGGCAAGACAGATTTCGGACACGGCCAGAGAGATAGGACATGTGCTGAGTAAGCAGTGGAGGTGGCGGTGGCGCCAGCAACAGTTAAATAACCAACGTATAGTAACTAATGGCTAGTGTGTGTGTGTGTGTGTGTGTGTGTGTGGTTGTGTGTGTGTGTGTGTGTGTGTGTGTGTGTGTGTGTGTGTGTCGACACATTGAGAGTCAGAACGAGCTGTACAGTATCTGGGTTGACGGGTTCAGGCAGATGTATTGTAACAATGGTAGAGATCTCAGGTGAATCACAGGTGCACATCTCAGATGATCTCAGTTCTCGGTCTGAGCAGCCTTGTATAACCTTTATTCATCCAGGTGAGTCTGCTTCAGATCTAACCTCAAAACCTGTATCTAAACGGACCTACTTCTCCCACAGAAAAGACATGAAATGTGTGATCACCTGAACAGAATCTCTTTACAATTCCCCACATACTCACATTGTATTCAACCCCCTCCCTCAAAAACATAATGATTTAACTGGTCTTAGTATGATCAACACCGACTGTAATTATATTAAAGGACTTTCACTCACTGTTATCATATTAAAGGACTTTCACACAGATTCTACAACTTATAGACATATACAGATGCGGACAAATATATTGTACTTTTCCTAAATAATTCCCTGTTTCTTCTAAAATAAATTGACAGTTAAAATAAAACTTTTGGATTTTCAACATTGCAGAAGCAATTTTATTTTTATAAACTTAAGTTTCCACTGCCAATTTGGTTCACGTTTCAGCATCAAACTGCTCTAATTATTCGATGTTTGAGGGGTTGCCCGCCAGCAACTGCTGTTTCCACATCTCGCCATACGTTCTGGATGTGATTCAGATCTGGACTCTTCGCAGGCCACTCCAGAACAGTCCAGCATCTCTTCTTGAACAATTCCTGAGCGCTTTTCCGTGTGTGTTTGGAGTTGTGCCTATACAGTATCACAGAGTCGGGGGTGGGGTGGGGGTTCTGCTGCAGATTCCTTGATGCCTGGTCCTATAGACAGAGTTCTGGTGCTCAATCACTTCTATAGTCTATTCTTTGAAACAGAGGGCTATGGGCTGTCTCTCTGGGGATGGGGTTGCTTCTTCTCAGACTGGTGCTGTTGATGGTCAGTTGGATAGTCAGGTGCCCAGGTAAGGTGGTAACTAAGGACTATAGGTTGTCCGTCTGGCAAGGGTTCTCAGGTGGAGGCGTCGCTGTGAGGGATGGTCAGTTGGGCAGTCGGTCAGGTTTCCTGGTCGCTGCGTTTCTTGACAGGTGGGTGTGTCCTGCCGGTCCTGTGGGGGTCAGGGCTCTTCCTGGTGCAGGGGGTTGGTGTGGCCTGGGTCATGTGGACACAGCGGTGGGCGTGTCCGTCACAGCGGGTGCAGTGGCAGCGGCGGGACTCTGGGTAGTAGAGCACGTTGCTGACATGCAGCGGGCAGCCTGGCACGCGGGCAGGATGGTAGACCAGGGAGTGGGGCATGCAGCCACGCTGGATCAGGTAACTCTTACCCACACGGCCCTTCACGTTGGTGTCCTGACACAGAAGGGGTTAGAAAAGGGGTCAAGAGAGAGACTAATCCCACGTCTCACCCTCTTCTACCTAGCCTCAGCACATCTCACTCTGCTATCACCAACAGGTCCTGTTTGAATACTTTGATAGGAAGGAAGGAAGGAAGGCAGAAATGAAGCTATGAAGGAATATTAAGGTATCTAACCTGTGTGTGGCAGAAGCCACTGCAGATGGTGGTGTTGACAGCGATACACTGTGTACAGCCTCTCTTCTCTATGAGCAGGGTGTAATTTTCCATCATACACACACACACCCCTCCACCCAGCCACACAAACAGCAGAACCCACGTCAACACACACATAGTGGGACACAACACGTACACATACAGCAGAAGGTATTCAGTCGTCACGCGTTTTTCCAATATGAATTGACTCTAACATCTCTCTCTCCTCTCTCTCTCTCTCTCTCTCTCTCTCTCTCTCTCTCTCTCTCTCTCTCTCTCTCTCTCTCTCTGTCTCTCTGCAGCTGATGGGGAACTCTCTTCTCTCCTCTTTCTGTTCAAGCGTTTGTTTGCTCTGTCCCTCTCTCCTCAGTGGATGATCTCTGAGTGGCTCTGTCAGGGTCCTGAAAGGGTCTTGTAGTGTCTGGTAGGGGCCAGTCCCTCCCTCCTCCTAATCCTCCTGAATCCACCCTGATCTTCTGGGTGTGTTATCAGCCCCAGCAGACAGCCGGAAGGGTCCGCTTCTCTCACCGCCGTCCCAGACACATCCACCTGCTCTGCACACAGACAACGTGCTCACACAGTGTGTGTGTTTATGCATGCGTGCCGGGGGTCGACATAACACTCAGACGCAATCCATGAGCTTAACAAGAAGATCACAGGGGGAGTGACTAGGTCGTTACATTGTTGTTAGGTAAGGAATCAGCAGTGTGGTGGTGGGGGACATTGTTGTAGGTAAGGACTCAGCAGTGTGGTGGGTAAGGACTCAGCAGTGTGGTGGTGGGGGACATTGTTGTTAGGTAAGGACTCAGCAGTGTGGTAGGTAAGGACTCGGCAGTGTGGTAGGTAAGGACTCAGCAGTGTGTGGGGGACATTGTTGTTAGGTAAGATCAGCTGTGTGGTGGGGACATTGGTTTGTAAGGACTCGCGGGTGGTGGGGGAATGTGTTAGTAAGGACTCAGCAGTGGGGGGGAGGGTAAGGACCAGCGTTGTGGGCGGTAAGGACTTGCAGTTTTTTGGTAAGGGGGGGGTGGAAGGTACGGGGTGGTGTAGGTAGATGGGGTAAGGGGACTCAGCAGTGTGGTAGTGGACTCA